AAAGGACACAGAGGGTCAGGGGAGCTGGTCAGGGCACACGGGGGGCAGTGTGCAGTTGGGGAGCCCCAGTGAGGGAGCGTCCCCACGGGAACACGTTGACCAGGTGTCCATCCCCCAGGGGACCTCTGAGGGGCAGCAGGCCCTCATGGGTGGCATTTGATGCTGTGTCCTTCTCCACCCAGAGGCCAGGCAGGTCCCCTGGAGCCCTGTCCCCAGAGGAAAGACCACACAGATACTCACTGGGCCCTGCTCCTGTCATGGGGGGCTGGGGACAGGGCAGCTGGGGACGCGGGATCAGAACCCGGAGCCGTGGCCTCGCTGCCCCGCACCCCGGGGAGCCACAGGATGGCCTGGTGGGGCAGTGCGCATGGCCCTCCTCACACGGCTCGCTGAGACCCCTGCAGCCCAGGGGACCCTCCCTCCACATGGGCCCCTGGTCCCCTCACTGGGCCCCTCTGTCCCCAAAGGCTCTGCAGGAGCGCCGGGCCCGCTGCGAGACACAGAACACCGACCCCGTGGTGTGGACCAACCAGCGCGTGCTCCAGTGGGTGCGGGACATTGACCTGAAGGTGGGCACGTGGCGGGCGGCGGGTGGCAGGTGGCGGGCCAGGCGGGGGCTCCAGCGCGGGCAGACCCCGGGTGCATTTGTGTACAAATCGATATCCGTTTTTGTGTGACCGCGGCCTCATCTCCAAGGCCTGCAAGAAAGCCACCCCTCCTGTCACTCAGAGGCAGCCACTCACTCCCAGCCCTGGGGACCCTGTGGTGACGCTCATGTCACGAGGGGCACTGAGCCAGCTGCACCCACCTAAGCACGTGTGGGTCCAGATCCAGGTGCATCTTGAACTCCACAAATTATCAGGAGCCCCTGCTGGGGTCAGGGGCCTGTGGGTGACGAGAGCCGCCCCTCGGGGCTCTGAGGGTCGGGGAGGTCCCCTCCAGGCCCCACCTCGCGCTCTGCCCCCAGGAGTACGCGGACAACCTGACCAACAGCGGTGTGCACGGCGCGGTGTTGGTCCTGGAGCCCACGTTCAACGCCGAGGCCATGGCCACGGCCCTGGGCATCCCCAGCGGGAAGCACATCCTCCGGAGACACCTGGCCGAGGAGATGAGCGCCGTCTTCCACCCGGCCAAGTGAGTGCCCAGGACACTGGGGTCAGGGGCTGGGAGGAGGGAAGTCCACCTCCCGGGGTGAGATGGCAGCTCCAGCTGCGGGCAAGGGCCTGGGCAGGAGGGGCCACGTTAATGGAGCTTGTGGCCCAGGGAGCAGGGCACTGGGCACCTGCCTGCTCCAGCGTCCTCACCTGGAAGATGCCCGGCTCCACCCACAGGCACTGCCCTCCCCTCCCTGCACCTTAGCCCAGGTGGTCATCCACGGGGCACTTGCTGGGCATGCTGAGTCCACCCTCCTGGCGCCAACCAGATCCCCGTCCGTCCTCCACTCATGAGAAATTCGTTCTAAGGGGCCGTGCCGCCTGCCCAGGGTCAGCAGCCAGCAGGGGCAGGGCCTCGGGGGTCTTGTAGTCTACCGTGTGGCGAACTGGAYGGCTGGTCGGTCACGGATGGAGCCATCCTTGCATGTCCGGGGCGACCTCGCCTGGTCAGAGTGTGCCATCCTTTTGCACGAGGCTGGGTTGGGTTTGTAATGCTCCACTMGGGATTTCTGCATTTCTATTTAGAAAGGCCGTGGGCCCCCAGTTCTTGTCTGATGGTGCTTCTGTCTGGTTTGGGTGTCCGGGCAATGCTGGCTCCTGGAGTGGGTTGGGAACTTGTGTTGCTTGGAAGGGTCTGTAGGTCTGTAGGTCCTGTTCCTTATTCTTGGAACATTTAGGAGAATTCACCGTGAAGCCGTCTGTCGCTAGGTTTCTCTCTGTGAAAAGCGTTTTGATGACTGATTCTCCCTCTTTACTTATTAGCGGCTTATTTAGAYTTTCTGTTTCTTTTGGAGTCAGCGTCAGTGGTCCACACCCCCCGCCCCCAGGAATGCGTCCACTTCATCTAGAATTGCTCATTCGCGCAATGAATCCTWCAATATTCCCTCATGGCCTCTCTGCAAGGCTGCTCCGGAAGCCCCCTGTCCTTCCTGGGGCTGGTCACTGGACTCCTCTCTTTCATGGCTGGTCTAGCTAAGGTTTGTCAGCTGAGAAGACAGAGCCCAGATTGACCCTGGGCTCTCTGACTTGGACCTGAGAACGGAAACCCAGACCCTCGGAGCCTTGGGAGCCGCTGGCCTCTCCCTGTGCCTCGCAGGCGCAGAAACAGGCTCCGGAGAGTGTCGTACGTCTGGGGCGGGTCCCGAGCCCTGGGCTGCCCTTCCCCATCAGCCCCAGAGGCCCACGCGGTTCTCGGGGTGGATCCTACACCTGCCGATTCTTGGTCCGTCTCAGACCGTGGCCCTGTGCCTGGCGGAGCCCGCGGACCTACATTTTGAGCCGTTTCGGGTAGTGGCAAAGTCGGATGGGACTCTGTTCTGTGAACCTGGGATCCATAGGAAAGGGCTTCCCTTCTCCAGGTCACCGTCCCCCCTGACCACCTACGTGTGACCCTTAAATCTTGACCACCACGGGGTAACGGGTGGGCTCGGGGCTGTCCAGGACTAGTGGGTGAGCACGGAAGGTCCTTGGTCTTGGGAGGCCAGGGAGTCCCAGTGGACCTCGTGCAGACAGGGTCAGAGGAGGGGACGGGACTTGGTCCAGGCTCCACACTTCACACACGTGGAGCCTGATGCTGGTGGCTGGGGACAGAGGCAGTGCCAGCCCCTGGCCCAAGCCAGATGCCTTGTCATCACCCTGTCCTCACCCTGCTGTCCCCCACATGTCTAGCATGGCTCCCGAGTCAAGGTCCCCGTGTGGGATTTCAAATCCCCTTGGTTGAGACCCTGACCCGCAGTCCAGGGGAACAGGCTTGGGTCAGCTGAGGGACACAGAGTCCCAGGGCATTTAGAGACACTTCTCAGCTGGGACAATCCTCAGCTAAGCCAACACGGGGGGTGGGGGACAGTGATCCGCAGCTTGTGGAGGGACACTTGGAAGGTGGACGGGGTGCTGCTCACCGAGAGCTCCGGGCAGGACGTCTCTGCTGTGGTCCACGCGGGGAGTCCCCGTCCGCTGCCCTGTGGCCCTGCTCCTCTTCCAGCTTTCTGGAGTAGGGGGACAGAACGGGAAGGGGAGGTGGCCTGGCCCTCTGGGGTGAGTCCTTCCGGAACATTCTCCTTGCTCTTGAGTCAGGGTCCCACTAAGTCACCAAGGCTGGCTTTGAACCCATGACCTCCTGCCTCGGCCCCCAGAGTGGCTGGCCACGGGTGTGCCCCTACGCCCGGCTCCGGGATGCTGCTGACGGGGGTGCCAGGTTCCGACACACTCCGAGTCATCGGGTTGGACATCGGGGCTCCCCCAGACTGAGCTCCCGGGAGGTGACCGCAGCAAGCCTCCCACTCTGTCACAAATGCTGATGTCAGAAGGTGTTGGGGACAAAGGTGTCACACCCCCATGAGGAGGGGTTGTCGCCCCATCTTACGGGTGAGAATCGGAGGCCCCAGGGAGGGACGGTGACTTCCCAAGATGTGACAGGGTCAGAGGCAGCGCTGGCTTCTGCCACCAAGGAGTCCTCGTCCAGTGACCTTCCTCCAGGCAGATGAGGCCAGGTCCTACCCCTAGCAGGTGTGTCCCCTGAGGGCCTGTGGTCACGCACAGCAGGGGGAGGGGCACAGCGGTGGCTCCGAGCCTCTTGGGGGACGACAAGCCTGACCCCAGGGACACACAGTCACCAAGAGTCTCTGGGTCCCATGACGCCATCCTCCCACCTCCATCACCATGACAACGCACGGGCCCCGGTGAGCCGCGTCTGACGGGGTCCCCTGCCCTCTGCCAAGCCCCCTCAGCGCCAGCCGCGGGTCCCCCACAGGACTCTGCGTCACAGATGAGGAGAAGCGAAGCCCAGGACCAACAGCAGGAGGGACAGGACGGGCAGCCGGGGGCCACCTGCGGCCTCGCTTCCTGGCTCCTCCAGCCCTTGCCGTCCCGCCCCTCGGGCAGAGGCTGAGCTGCGGACACAGGAGTCCAGGCCTCCCCTTCCTCCCTGCTTCTCCTGCTTTCCATCTCTGTCTCTCCACCCCCGACTCCAGCTCTCTGTCCCTGTCATCTGTCTGTCAGCTCTGCGGCCGGGCCCAGCCAGTCCTGGGGCTCATGTCGGGCTTCTCCACCATCTTCTGTGTGATTTCAGGCAGATGCTTGCCCTCTCTGAGCCTCTGTCCTCAGTGTGCAATGGGGATGATTTCACTCCTGCCTCCTGGGTGTTGAGAGGGTGCTGTGGGCTCCGGGCGCAGGGGCAGCGGGTGCCGCTCTCTCCCCCACCTCATCTGTCCCCACCACAGTCCCGCACATGGAGAGCCCTGAGAGTCCCTGTCCAACAGCCCGCAGGCCGGCCACCACCCCTCCTGCCCCATGGCTCCTCTCCTGGGCCCGGCTGCCGTACRCTGGCTCGGGAAACCCAGGGGTGATGGCTTGTGCCCAGGCCACCACTGAGTGTCGTAAGCTTGGAAGCAGGTCACTGAGGTTTGTCGGTTCACAGCTGCAAGAGTCGGTGAGTCTCAGATGAGACCTTGGAACCACTGGGGACGGGGACTGTGGTTTACGTGACCCGAGGACGTGAGTTTCGGGGACAGGGCACAGTGCTGTGGTCTGAGTGTGACTTGTCCCCATGAGCTCAAGCAGGACCCTAATCCCCAAGCTCTCAGGACACTGAATCCAGCCGCAGTGTTTCGAGGTGGGGCCTCGGGAAGTGATCGTGACAGATGAGGTCACTAGGGTGGAGTCCCCTGGCTGGCTCCTGGTGGCTTAAGAAGCAGAGGGACAGAGACCCCACAGAGAGATACATACAGTCTTCCACCACGATGTGATGCAGCCAGCGGGGACCTCGCAAGAGCCYGCACCATGCTGTTGGGCCTTCCCACCTCCCAAACTGAGCTGAATAAACCTCTTTTCCCTATAAGGTGGCCTGCCTCGGGTATTTCACGATAGTAACAAGAAACAGTGATCTAGCCAGGATGCCCCTTCTCCAGAACTGTCCACAAAACTTACCCCCCAACATCCCTTTGCTCAAAGCCTGAGTGACTAGAAGTATTTCCTGGGTCCATCAGAGCCTCCAAAGACCTTTGCCTTGTGCTTGGCCGATTCCCGGGCACTATTATGTTTTCATGGGTTTTGACCCAAAATTATGTCTGGGGGGGGGGGTGGATTTCAGCCCCTGTGGGAAAAGCCAGGAGGAAAAAGCCAGTGTAACCACGGCTCAGTGGTGACAACAGCCTACTGGGCCCTGCTGTTCAGGCGAGGACGCTGAGGCCCAGGCCACACCCTACACAAGGACACAGCCAGGGGACAGCTGAGCAGGGACTCAAACCAGCTCTGTCCTCAAACCTGTGACACGTGGTCGCAGCAGTGGTCCTCACGCAGCACTTCTCAGAGCTTAGTGCCTCTCTTAGTGCCTCGTGGGGATGTGCGTCACGAACCCCGCCCAGCCCAGGTGACCCGAATGCTCGGGGACCAAGCCAGGCCACGCTCACCTGCCCTGAACCCAGGGTGACAAGACCCCGTCTAACTTGATCCTAGAGCCCAACTCAACTTCCATCCCCGCCCCCGTGGGCGCTGGGTGTCCTTGGACAAGGGCACACCCACTCTGGACTTCGGTCTCTTCTTCAGGAAGAGCAGGGTAAGGGACCCAGGGCTCTTCCCACGTCACCCATGCTCCACGAGTCGGGAGAATTTAGGGCCAACAGGTGGCTGTGGGGCTGAGATCTTCGTGGCTCCTCTCGGGAGAACTGCTCCCTCCCACTGACCCCCGGGATCTCATCCCCCGGTGCAGAGTGAGGGCGGTCACCCGTGAAGCCCTCCACCCCACGCTGGTGGGTGGCAGCCCAGGCCATGGTTTAGGACTTCGCCCCGTTTGCCATCACCCTGTCACCACCGTCTCCGAGGTGCCCCTCCCGCCCTGGAACTTTCCCAGAAACGTGCCCCAGATCAGCAGAAGCTCTGAGCGGCTCAGTCCATCGGTTTCCCGCTGCTGGGAAAAATGCCCGGTGGTCACCTCACGGGTGGGAGGGGGTGGCCTGGCCCACAGGTCTCACCACCTCCGARTGGCACCAAGCTGGGACCCCAAACCTATAGTACACGGGCCTTTGGGGACACTTCAGATCCAAACTATAGCAGCAGCTTAAAAGGTGCTCGAGGGCACTTCTCGCGAGGCCCGTGGCGCACGCCTGTAAGCCCAGCCGCTMGGGAGGCTGAGGCAGGAGGATCTCAACTTCAAAGCCAGCCTCTGCAATTGAGTGAGGCCCTAAGCAGCTCAGTGAGACTCTGTCCCTAATAAAATACAGAAAAGGGCTGGGGATGGGGCTCCGTGGTCCAGTGCCCCTGAGTTCAATCCCCAGTAACCAAAAAATAAATTTAAAAAATATAAAATATAAAGAAGTGCACTTCTCTTAATGAGCCACCTCCGCGGTGGCCTGAACCAGGACACAGACTCTGGCCAAGCAGACCCCTGAGCGCCTGCTGGCCAGAGCCAATGCCCTGGTAATGACCTGTCTCTGGGGTCCAGCTGCCTAGGGACCCACGGGGCTCTGAGCGCCAAACCCCGCAACTCCAGGATGGGAGAGGTGGCTGGAGGCTGTCGAGACGCCGCTCAGGGTCACCTGGCCAGCAGCAGACCCGGCTCGGCCACACCAGCCTGGGAAGGCCCTGGACACATCCCAGACACAGGGGCTGGGGCCCGCGAGCTGGACAGGTGTCGTGGCCCTCGGTCACCGCAGGGCCACCCCCGCTGCCAGAGAAAGCAAGGGCCGAGTGAGCCCGGGGCCTGGGGCGGCTGGACCCAGAGGCAGGTGGGCACTGGAGCCCAGGACGCGGGCCGCCGGCCAGCTCCGCCCCAGGAGCCCTGGTTTCTGTCTCCAGGGACAGGCAGCTGGCACAGGGGCCGGCACACCTCCCCAGGAAAGGTCAGAAGAGGGGAGACTGGGAGCCACAGCAAGAAAGGCCCAGGAACGGGGCACTGACCGCTGGGCACGGTCTGCAAGTGGGAGGACTTACACACAGACCAGGGCCAGCTGTCGGGGCCAGGCCGCCGYCGGCCAAACGGACTCTACGGCGTCTCGATGCTTTTTCACAAAAAAATGAATGGAGGATTGGGGGGGGCTGGCTTTCAGTCAGATCAGGAACAGCTTCCTGTGCTTCTCAGGCCACCCCTGATTCAGCTCAGCTCTTGGGATTCTTCCCTCCAGTCCTCCATTCCCTGTAAGTGTTTCGGCTTATGAAGAGTTCAGAAATTTCGGAGTCTCAGAGACTCGGGGACTTGGGTTTGGATCTTGGCTCTGCTGGTGGCAGCTGTGTGACCTTGGGCAGATGGGTCACCCTCTCTGYGCCTGCTTCTCCTCCTCTGTAACATGATGGGCAGGCCGTCCCTGTGTAGGCGCTCGGTGCCCCTGGGAGGTGCCCAGGGAGTCCCAGCAGCCGTGACCCTTGTCACCGCTGTGCATGTCCCTGGGTGGCACTGGTGCCTGAGCCTCTCCTGCTGATGCACAGTGCTGTGTCCCCAGCTCCACAGGCACCCGCGAGGCCGAGCGCTTTGGAACGCCACCGGGCAGGGCCTCCAGCGTCACCCGGGCGGGGAAGGAGGACAGCAGCGGGGGCAGCRGCAGGTACAAGACTGGCCGGGTAAGTCGCTGGTGGCCACCCGGGGGCCGCTCCTGCGAGGGCGCTCTGTCCTCCGGCCCCACTGTCCACTCCCGGCCTCCCTCTGCGGCCTGTGACGGGGCAGCGGGGGGCAGGGTCTCGGGGGCTTTGGGGACCACCCCGGAGGCCACTTCCCAGGACCCGTGGGACCCCTCGGCCTGGTGACAAGAGTCCCCACGGTCCCCACGGGGCTCAGWGTGCAGTCTCGCCCGCCTGCCCTGTGCCTGGGCCCGGGGAGGGGAGGCAGGTGCGGCCTTCGCCCTGGAGGGAGGCCCGGCTGGCCTGGGGTCTGAGGCCAGCACTGACCAGTGCAGGTGATGACCTTTGGCGACACCGGCCACGTGGCCCGGAAGCTCCTGCAGCCAGGGTGTGTCCTAAGGGGACCCTGAGGACACAGGTCACCCGGGCGACACAGGGCCATCTGCTCAGCAGCACYGCCCAGTGTGAACTGTCCCACCGCCACCCTGGGGACAGGATCGAGTCACCCCCCAGGACGCTCMGTCTAGAACACGCCTGCAGCGGGGTGACACCCTCCCCAAAGGGGTCAGAACTTGTCCTTGGGGGCGGGTTCGGAAAACCCCACCTGTGCACCGTCACCCGACCTCAGGCCTCACGCAGGGACGAGTTAGGAAAACCGTCTGCAGAATCTCCTTCGGGGAGGAATGTTATTTTTTAAGTGGACAAACCGTGGTCTAGAGGGAAAGGCCGCTGTGCAGTGGCCCACGCCTGTAATCCCAGCACTCCGGAGGCCGAGACAGGAGGACACATTGGAGGCCAGCCTCAGCAACTTAGCGAGACCCTGTCTCAAAATCTCAAAGTGAAAAGGGCTGGAGAGGGGTCGGGGGCAGAGCATTCGCCTGGTGTGCACGAGGCCCTGGGTGCAATCCCAGCGCTGGGATTGCTGGAGGAGGAGGAGGAGGAGGAGGAGGAGGAGGAGGAGGAGGAAAGGGGGGTGGAGAGGGAGGACGGGCCACATCAGGCAATGAACAATACTAACCACCTTCGCCAGGGAGGACAGAGACGTTGACAGAAGAGCACGCTGGGGGCCTACTGTGCGTGGTAACAGCTCCCACTGTGCGCCCGCACTGCTCCGTGCTCGGCAGACAAGATTTCTACCTAAATGACCTTCAGAGGTGGCTGGGTCTCCCATTTTCTAGCTGAGAAAACTGAGATTCAGAGAGAGGCGGTGACAATCCGAGGTCACCCAACAGCAAGTGGCAGAGCAGGGACCCAATGCCAGTCTGAGTCTCCAAAACCGGTTCCTGCCACGCCAGGCGGTCTAGAATGTTCCCTCTGGCCCTGGGGAGGCGGTCAGACCCGTGCCCCTGCTGAACTGTCCTCACAGGGGCTTTCCGTGCCCCTGTTCCCAACGCTCTTCCTCCTGAGCCGGGGGAGGAGGTTCTCATGAATCGATGTGATAAAACTTGTCCTGACCCCTTGTAACCCCCTGAGTCCTCCCGCTGGGAACAGGGAACCGTCTCCTGATGTTGACTCACACAGGGGTCTCTGGAGCACTCAGGTAGAATGACTCRCAGGAGGAGCACAGAGAAGTCAAGGCAGTTACTCAAGGTCACACAGCGAGACTAGAGACACCACATTCCCCAGGCCTCGGACACTCAGCTCTTRTCTCTCTTCCTCCTGTCCCTTGCCCTGTCCTCAGCTGCCCCTCGGGAAGATAGGAAGGGGCTTCAGCAGCAAAGACCCGGATTTCCATGACGACTACGGCTCTCTTCAGAACGAGGAGTGCGGTGACGATGACGCGCAGGCCGGGCCGGAGCAGTACCGTCTGGACGGCTACAGCAGCCCAGAGGTCACCAATGTGTAGGGAGCCTGCGTGGACAGAGGCCACCCTGGCCCCAGGTGCTGACCTGTACAGAGCCACCTGGGGCCGAGGAGCGCCTCTGCTCCGGGCGGATCCCCACAGACTGCGGCCAGGGACACGGGCGCGGGGCCCAGGAGACCCGTGGCGTCGGCCAGGCGAGGCGGAGCCCGGGCTGACCACACACCCACGTGCCAGCAGAGAGCAGGGCCAGGCAGGGCCACCGGAGGCACCAGGGAGGGGCCACCAAGAACCTGGGCTCCGACCTGGGTCAGGACTCCCGGCAGACGGGGCGGGGCACTGGGTCCAGTCGCGGGCTCCGTGTCGTTGGACCTGCAAAACGCTGGTCCCCTGGGCCACCGCGGACACCCTGCCTCGTGACCACAGGAGCAGGACTGAGTTCAGTGACAACGGCACAGCATGGTGACGAGTTTAGGATCTGGTGCGGGAAACGTTGTCACTGCTGACCAGACAGCTATGATGTCCCTGTCACCTGAAACAGGTGTGCTCACCGATGCGCTGGAGGAGCCACAGACCCCACAGACTGAAATCAGTGGGCGCTGGGGGGACCCTSCAGCCCTTCTCCTGACCCTCTCTGTGCCTCAACGTCTTCATCTTAATACTTCTGAGGATTRACCTTTGCTAATGTCCGTAACACACTTTGAACCCTCGCAGGAGACAGCCGGAAGTGACGGGGTGGGCSGGGGTCTGATTCCCCAGCCACAGCWCGAGGACCTGACCCTGGACTGCTTCTCTCCTGCTCTGCTCCAGGGAACACTGCCACAGTGCTCCATCTCCTGTGAGGTCTTTGCACCAGGAGCCAATGAAAAGTTCATGTTCCAAGGTTTGCCACAGGCGCAGGCCTCTGAGGACCAACCAGCGCCTGTTCTTCCACCCAACAAATCACTTCCCCTCGTGGAAAAGCACAAGCAGAGCCAGGATGGACCCGAGATGCACTCCTCCCCGAGGCTGCCAGGGCTCCAGCCATCTCCATAACCCTCAGCCATCCCCACTACCGGAGACCAAATGCCTACGTGTGAGCAGGTGGCTGTTCCCCCTTTCATCTGAATCCTGGGCCTTCTGGGGACACATTTCTGATCGCAGGACCCAAGGGAGAGATGAATCCCTGGTGTGTGGCTTGGCTTTTTGAGGTTCCAAACCCCAGGGTCTGTAGGACACTCCAAGTCGGGAGCCCAGAGAGGAGGGGACCTCCCTGTAGCCTGGTGTCCACCCAGCTGGGCGCTCTGAGGATCCGGTCGGCCCTGGGGAGCAGGGAGGGGCCCGAGCGCAGACCTGAGGCCACATTGACCCCAGCCATCGGCAAGGACAGCCGCCCGCGTCCCAGGCTCCATCCCCTTGGGGACAAGGACAAGTAGACACTTGGGAAGGCTCTGGCAGAGACAGCATGCCCAGCAGGCCAGCAGCCTGGGGTGGCCCCGAATGCCCCTGGGGGTCCCCATGATGCCACCACCTGGGGCTCCCCATCCCTGGAGACCCCTCACTCCATGCGGGCAGTGGGGAGTCCCAGTGGGGACAAGCTAGCCAGGCCACCACACAGGACGAGGACCTGCCACCTCCCCTCCTGACAGCCAGTGTGGTGACAGTCCCCTAAGGGTGGCCTGGGGACCYGGGAGCCCCTGTGACGTGCTTCTCAGAGCTTTGCCGTCTGTGCCGCCCGGGAACATGGGCACGGGGCTCGGGGACGGGGCGCAGGCCCCCTGTGCCTCCTGGGACCGGGGTCCAGCAGCAGTGGGCTCCGCCGGGCGACTCTCCGGCTTTCTCCTGAGCACCCTCCACCCGTCCTCAGCCCTGGGTCCAGGTGGTGGTGGCAGGTGGCAGGGACCCCAGGCCAGAGGGAGGGGACAGGACACTGGGCAGGCCTGACTTCCACGCGGGGACCCCTCTCCCGGGGACAAGCGCCCAGCTCAGCCCCGAGGCCCGTCCCGTGAGCCCTGGTGCCCCGTGTCCCCCGCCTCCGCCAGCGTCCGAGGCTCTTCTCCGTGGCGCAGCGAGGACCAGAACCCCGCGGCCTGGGGACTCCTGGATGGCCGGTGCCACCAGCCTGTGGCCACAAGGAGACTGTCCTGAGCCCCGCCCCCGAGGGGAGTCTGTGGCCACCAAGGAGGTGACTGTGACAGGGACAGGTTCCCGCCATGGCCACGGTCCTCCCTGGAGTGGACTCTAACACCAATAATAAACACCAGCGCCTGGCGCTCAGCCCGCGGTGGCTCTGGTCAGTGTCCCCAGCAGCCCCTGAGGGGGCTGGGAGCCCATTTCACCGAGGGGGACATTGGGACAGGGACGAGGGGTTCGAACGGCTCCTCAGGCTGAGAAGCCACAGGTGGGGACTCAGACCCGATCCCAGGGCCTGCAGACCCCAGGCTCCGTGTCCCCTGGACGCTGACCCCCTGCCCACCCTCCTGCATGACCCACAGGGCCAGACAGGTAGGAGTGGACTTGGGTGCCCTCTGTCTGCTGGCCGGTGTCTGCAGGGACACTGCCTCTGTCCTGCACGGGGGAGGGGAGGCCTGGCCAGTGACCGCCCCGGTGTCACCTGTTACCTGCCCCCTGTCACCTCCACCTTCAGGTGGCCTGTGGGTCTCAGGGGTGGGTTCTTGGGCCCAGCTCAGGGCGTCTCAGACTTTCACACGGACCAGCAGGCGGGGGCCTGGGGTCGGTGTGAACGGCCTGGGCTGGTCCCCAGGGTCCCACAGGCGCCCAAGCCACCTGCTGGGCCGGGGCCAGCACGTCCGGGCTGCCGAGGGCCTCCYGGCCGGGCTCTTCACCTGGGGAGGTGGTGCCCCTGGTGTCCAGCCACCAGACTTCTGCCTCGGTGGAGGGAACCGGCTCCCTGGCTGCCACGAGGCAGGAGGACAGGGAGGCCCCGGCTCCGAGTGGGGAGGGTGGAGGCGGGAGCCACCACGAGGCTGGGTGGGGACCCGGTGTCAGTGGGCTGGCCACAGACATGACTTACGGAGACCCCCGGGGGCCAGGGCCAGGTGGTGCTGGGGACGCCGAGGCTGGAGATGAGAAAGTGCCCCTGACCCGGCCATCCGGTCCAGTGTGGTGGCGGGGTAGCCTGGGGACGGAGAGGGACTCCTGAGCTGAGACCCRGGTTCTGAGACGCCTTCCTGCAGGCTCAGGGGGAGTCCCCAGAACCCACTCAGATCCCAGCACCTGTGGCGAGTCTGGAGCACAGAGGCCGCTGGCGTCAGGACTTCCCACGTGAGGTGACTGGTCAGGAAGAGGCCAGGCCGGGCAGAGTTCAGCTGGCAGAAAGGACCCCAGACCAGAGCAGCAGGTGCCAACGTCCTGTGGCAGGAGGAGCAGAGCCTGAGGTTGGAAAGAGCCCCACAGGGCGGAGTGCAGGGAGGGGCCGCCTCAGGTGCTCAGGGGCAGCGGAACCTGCTGGCCTCGGCCTGCTCCCAGGGCCCCCTGGGCCCTGCCTTCTGTCACCCCAGGTGCACTTAGTGCAGCCCAGGGTCCAACCAGACGTGGGCCCTGCCTTCTGCAGATGCCTCRCTCCTCCCCTGGCTCTGGCTCAGGGCTCACTGGAGGTTATGAGGCCTAGGGCTGATGTGGAGGGCCCATGAGGTGGCACCTGGGTGGCACCTAGGTGGCCAGGGCACAGCTGACCTGGGCCACCTCAGGCCTGGGGCCTCAAATAGGAAGCCAGCCGTCTGCATGAGCGAGCTGCTGCCCAGCCCCAGGGGCCAGCCTCCCCTGCCCCCTTCCAGGGTCCTTCAGGCACCCGGGGAGAGCGGGAGGCCCGGGCTGTCTCCCTGACCCCTGTCCCCGGGCGGGCGGCTCTCAGCCAGGTCTCACTGGAGCTTGTTCTGGGCGCCCAGTGTCCTGGGGTCTGCAGGTCCAACCCCCGAGGGGCAGCGGCCAGCGACCACCAACAGCACTCACAGGGGAGACAGACGGGCGCAGGAGGCGCCCGAGCCTTGGCCAGAGGCCTCCCCCCGCCCTTCGAGGCCCCGCTGCCCCGGCCCCTCAGAGGCTCCTTGGCACCTGCAGGTGGGCTCCATGGTCCGMGTTTGGCCTCTGGAGTGGCCGGTGTGTCCAGCCCCGAACCTTTAGCTTCGCCTCCCGTGGCGGGCGGACAGGGCGGACCAGGGTGGCCACCCCCGCAGACACTTCTGTGGCCGCCCTGCAGGGTCCAGGGGAACGTGGCTGAGGGGCAGCGCCATCCCGGGGGCTTCCAGTGACACACCCCGCCTGGGGCAGGGACCAGAGCCCGCGGCCAGATGGTTCAAGGCCCTAAGGGCGTCGCTGACTCACGGACAGCCTGGCGGGGACCTGGGGGCTCTGGGACGCCTGGACCCAGGGTCCACCCTCTGCGGCTCTTAGGTTCACTCCCCTTTGGGTCGGTTCCTTCTCAGACAGACCCGTCCCCGCTGTTGGCTCAGTGGCCTGGYGACACACTGTCCCCGGCTGGCACCCGTGCACAGGACACGGCCTCTTGCCGGATGGTCCTAGCCAGTCACGAGTGGAGTCTCGTCTTCTGGGACAGGAGAGGGCGGCCAGCACGCGGGGGCAGGTCAGCTGGCCCGGGCCCCCTGCCCCGGGGACACTGCGTGCCCCAAGGCTGCAGCCACCCAGAGGCGAGAAAGCAGCCCCCCTCGGGACCCCCGGGGGAGGGGGCCCAGCACCCGAGGGTACCGGATCCGAGGGACCTCAAGTGCCTTACGCGAAACGACACAGTATTCACAGGTGACCCACGGTGTCCCCTCCCAGACACGCGAAGCCATTTCTAACGCCTTCTAGCACACAAGGCGACGTGGGGCCGGGGACCCACGCTCCCCTGTCCTGTGTGTTTGGTTCCAGGGCTTGAACCCGGGGCGCTCACCACTGAGGGTCTCACTGAGCTGCATAGGGCCTCCCTCCGTTGTCCAGACTGGCCTCAAACTTGCAGTCCTCCTGCCTCAGCCTCCTGAGTCACTGGCATTGGGGCGTGGGCCACTGTCCCAGGCTCKGCGGCATGATCTGGGGAGGAAGGGGGAGGGTA